TATTTTAGAATTTGAAACATCTGCTACTTTTCTTCCTTTGACCTTTAGAAATAAGTGTTTCACTTTGATCCAATCTCATTTGAATTTTAATTCTCTCTCCTTTAATATCAAACTTTGAATTCTAAATAAATTTTCTACCATAATGTTAATTGAGAGTATTTGTCATAAACTTTGATTTCCTTACGATGTAATTAACTATGAGGGTTTGCACTTGTAGGAGATTTAGCAACCTAGGTTTATTTTTTTAAATCAAAATTTCAAAAATTTATTAATTCTCTTTGGAAAAAATTAAATTTAACGATCATTATCGTCAAATTCAAATGATTGACAATAGATGATATCTTCTTTCTTTAGAAAGATATATCATTCTATTATCATGAATTCAATTATGAAATTAATGATCCCTTTATCCATATTATCGTAGTTAAACACTTGATTGAATGATTATTTTGGCCCTCCGAGGTCATATATTGTTATTTCCTAAATTTGACTATGATAATCAGGATGAACTTTCAATCTTGCAAATTAAACCCATTAAGGAATGATATTTTTGCCTCTCGAGGTAATATATTATTTCCAATATTAAAATTTCAGAAATTAAACTATCCCAAAGAAAAAAAAATTTAACTCTAACTCACACGCTTTTCAATCAAACACTTACAAACTTAATTGACATTAATCATAGGGATATTGTTATGTTCGTTGCATAATGCTTGCTATGTTCATGGGAAATGTTTTATTTGTTAATGAGCTACTACATGTAAGTTATTGTAAGAGTCCATTGCATTCAACATGTGTTGTCTCTCCGCACTTATAGATGTTTGATGAACTTACTTGCAAGTTGATATTGACTGGAGAGAGGTCATCACATTCACAGATTATATACAACAAGTGTAACAACTTCTTCATACATGATTGTTGGTAAATCATCATGTCATAATCTTTTTGCAATTACCTATGTCTAGGTTATTGTTGCATATCAACCCTCATCACTTATAGGAGCTTGGTGTTTATTTACAATTGTTGCATGTCACAATGTGTATATCTACTTGTACTGGTTATTGATATTCATTTATGATGAGTCGTTGTATTTGTTTGCATATTTACAACAAGGAAGTTGTCACACTTATTGTATATCTTTTGTATTCTATTCATGAATACACTATCACATTTATTGCAATTATCTTTACTCATTCATAAGTATGATTAATATGATCATTATACACCAGCTGTAATTATTTTGGATGGGTTATAGTATACACCCAAGGTTCCATTATGTTGGTAGCAATTGAGTTGCTTATTTACTTCAACCTTATTAATTTGCTCAAAAGCATAGGTAGTGATAAGTGTAAATCATGTACTATTTTTATGTGTTTTAATTTTAGTAAAAATATGTTATTTTAGTTATTATTGTGCAATAAAAACTAAAAAATGACATTGCGGTGCCGAGTTCTCTGTCTGCAAGTGCTACGACGACAACGTAGACAGTGCAATAATATTATTAGTGCCACGACATCAGAAAGTTAGCTTAGCAACACTGGATTCTCTATTTTCAAATATCACAGTGCCATAAATTCTCACACTTTGGCGCCATTTTTTGTTGAGGCGCTTGTCTACTTTATGGGCATCATGGCGCCAATCTTCCAAGCACCTGCAGGCCTCTCGCCAGCTCGCAGCTCGCAGGAATGCGCATGTTCGCTAGCCTTATTCGCACTTGCTAGCGCAGTTGCACGAGTCAACGGGTTGGGTCAGGTCAGATTTGTGTCTAGATTTTTGACATGTTTGTCAAATCAGGCTAGGTTCAGGTTGAATCAATTGAAGGCAGGTCAATTTCGGATTGGATCCAAATCAACCCGATAACCTCCTTTGACACCCCTACCTAACTCAATCCAAACAACTTCCAGAACTAAGCCGATGGCTAAAAACAATCTTAAGTGGCTCAAAACCCTTCTTTCTCTCTCTCTAAAAACCCTCTCTTTCTCTCACTTGTTCGGCTTCTTAAAGAAATGAATGGAACGGAACATTGGATTTGGATATTTTTAAGTGTAGAAAATGGCTCAGTGTCTAGGCGCTCTGAAGCGCTAGTTTATTTTCCAAACTACAATGAGCACAAATCCAAGGCACCAGAAAACATAACATAGTGGCGCTATAGGGGAAAATTTTCATATTTCACAAACATGCATTTAAACCCCTGAAACCCACTCCAGAACACATACATATTTTTTTCATATGCACATATCATTTCCAAACGCATGCGAAAGACTTCAAAACACAGAGATTCAAGAAATTACATCTTTCAAATTAGATCAGAACATGTTAAAATTGAATATTGAATCTGGAGATGTCACACTGAGCGTCAACTGAAGTTATGAACTCATCCAAAAGGGAGTTCATTAACTCAACAATGTGAAACTCAAAGAATTTGGTGAACTCGTCTTTTAGTTAAAAAAAAAAAACAGAAAATAAAAGATAAAACTAAGAGAGGCATGCAAATAATTTCTAAGAAGTTGATCTAAAAGCTCAAGAATGAATTAAAAAAAAACACGCTAACCTGTAAAACAACTATGCATTAAAAAAAGACTATTGGTCATCGCAGCACCAGTGGTCTAGTGGTAGAATAGTACCCTGCCACGGTACAGACCCGGGTTCGATTCCCGGCTGGTGCAGCTGTTTCTGTTTTTTATTGCATTATTATTATTATTTTCTTTTTGGTTTTTCAATCTCGAGCTGGTAACAATTGACAATCTTCAAGGACTACTCGATGTTATTTACTGAATTCTAGTGTTATATTATTACTAGCTTATGAAATAAAGCGCTGTTGCTGTTATTTCATAAACACTTTTTCTTCGTAATTGCAAGTTATTAGAAATTGACGGGAGTTTTTTATTATGAGGCTATTTTGTTGGCTAAAAAAAAAATATAATGTAAAAAATATATCGTGTAAAAAGAATATAATATAGAATGAATAATTTTGAATTGTTTGAATGTGTAAAAAATAAATTTAGATGAATAAATTCTTTTGTTTGATTTGAAGTAAAATAGATTTAGTGTAATGTTTAACGATGATGGCGACTGGTGGGTGACGGTGGTAGTGGCTGGCAGAGGGTAATTGACGATAGTGAGTGGTGGCACGCTAGCGGCGGTGGTTGCCGACATGCGGGTGGAGGTGGCTGGCAGTGGTGCTAGTAACGGTTGGTGGAGGTCAAGCAAGCTTGTTTGCGATGTAAGTCATTCTCACTCAAATCTGAAAGAATTTAATTTACCTAAAAAATGATCTAGAATGATTTAAACTAAATTTAGTTTACTTTGCATTCCTTTTTCATCCAATCAAATACCAAAATTTTCAAAATCGCTGCATTTGAAATACTTTACACGATATCATGTTGTTGGATTAAACTCAAGTATATGTGCTTTATAATCTAGTATGTTTTAACTATTTTGATAATAATTTGTTGTTTCAGCATTATAGTTTGATGTGTTATAGCGATTGAATTGCACTCTATCGTATCTACTATAAGGTAAAAATGTTCTGACCATATTCAAACTTTACTAAAATATTATTCAAATTATTTTTAAGCTTTATTAGAAGCATATTCAAACTATTAAAATTATAATTGAATGATATTAAACCATATTTAAAATAAGTTTTAATCCATCTTTAAACACAAGTTTGAATTAGGTTCGAATTAAGATTTGAGTACCAATCAGTTAAAACCATTTTATTTGTAAGGGACTTTTAAATAAGAAATCCATGATTAAAAATACCAAAATAAAACTTTTGTTATATTTCTATAATAAAATAAATAGTGGGCTTTTTACATTATTTTGAAAATCGGATCGGCTCAGCTGGTTCGACTGGATCAAGAAAGAATCAATTGCCTAAATGGTCCAGATTTCCTCTACAACTAGCTTTGCAATGAACCGAATAAAACCAGTTACAAACAGTTTGATCATCAAACCTATCTCAATTTTTAAGAACAAGTCGGTTTAAAAATTCTCTATTTTATTTATTTAATTTAAAATTTTAAAATAAATTTAATAAATTAAGTTTGAAATAACTTTAAATTAATTATAATAATCAATTTTTAAATAAGCTCTAACTAAGCTTACTCATATGGCATAACCATCAATGTGACTTCTTTACTCGTTCAATTCACAAAAAAAGTTAGATAAAGTTATAAACAATACTAACCTAAAGTATCAAGGTGATCTGACACTAAAGAATTAAAGTGAGCCTCTCATGCTAACAACAAAAATTATATATATATTTTTAACATAACTTTTAATTCATTTTTATAATATAAATAATATTGAATTTTTAGTTTATAATATTTATTGTTTATTTATTTAGCTATTTAATTATATAATATAATTTTTTTTAATTTTTATATATTATAGAATATATAATTCTTGTATAAATTTATTTATTTTATAGTCCAAAAATTATATTATTTCATAATTATTATATTATTATTTAATCATATGTAATTCAAATATATTTAATATTTATTATGTTCGAATCATTAAATCTTGAACATATCTCTTTTTATCTCCCGTCTTGTATGCGGCGAATTATTGCGTCCGCTCACTAGATGTCCGGACATCCAATCCGGTGATGCCACGTCACTCAAATATACTGGGTCTCAGTATATTTTGGTGACGTGGCAACACCGGATTGGTGTCCGAATGAATCCGGACACTACGCAATAGTTTGCCCTTGTAGGCTTAAATTAAGATTTGAGTACCAATCATTTAAAACTAATTATATTTTTAAAGGACTTTAAATAAGTAATTCGTAATTAAAAAATAAAAATAACAAAAACATAACTTTTATTATATTTAGAAATAAATTTAGGGCTTTTTGATAATTTGTTGGTCGAAAGCTTAAAGCTTAAGCTTTCAACTAAAAAGTTTTAATTTCAAGTCTTTATGTGTAAGTTTGTGTGAATTTGCTTTAAACCATCTAAATGTTAAAAAAAAAAATTTGCCGTGAAATTTATCGTAGGGGGTGCAAGACCTGAAAACTACAGCAATCGTGGCGTTCAGTCGATTCCAATCCTAATCCCCTTTCCAACACTCGCGGGTAGAGCTGAGTTCCACTTTCAAGAAGAGGAAGGAGGCGAAGCCGAAGGCCAGAAATGACGAGTCCCGTTTCTCGGCTCTCGATTTCTCATTTTCTTTGCTTCCTCCCTTCCTTTAATCCGAAACCCCTCAAGTTGACATCAATATCTCACCGGCGGCAGTTTTCCCCCTCTCTTTGTCAACCGAGGTGAGCTCTAATCCTCCTGTCATCTTTCCATAGCCAATAATCCTCAAAACTTTTCCCCCAATGGGGAATTGCTATTTTACATAATCGAGAAACTTTCGTATTCATTATTAACATCCTCTAGATATTTTTTAAACTCGACTGCTAGAAGTTAGCAATCTTGAATGATGGTTTCTTTTGAGGCATCTAAATTCTACACCTGGTTAAATATCGATTTTGTGCCATTTTTGGGATTTAGAGGATTTGTAAATTTCTAGGTGGAGCAGGTTTAACGGATTTAAGGTATTTGTAGGTTTCGGCTTTAAAAGTTTTTCATCTCATATTTATTTAAGTCTTGGTAAAAAAAAGCTAAACAGTTTATCAGAGTTTAAGGAGATTTGCAGTTGCGTGGAAAATACTCTTTCAGGATTTAAAACTCAAGGTTCACTAAATCGATATTTATAGGATTTATTATCCTGCTTGAATTAAATGCTACTTGTAATCAAACGGCCTTACTCTCATCAAACTGAATCCTTTCTTGCTGCCTTTCTGTTTTTTTGTGTAGGTCAGAGTTGTCATTCACTGTAGGAACTCACCTTATTCCGCATCCAGCGAAGGTGGGACTTTTTTTTGTTTAACTTTTTCATACTTAATCGTTCTGTTCACCAATTGAACATGCCTACAAAATTTGATTATGTTAAGGTTCATACTGGCGGTGAGGATGCCTTCTTTGTGAGTATCAGCAAAGGGGGTGTTCTGGCCATTGCTGATGGTGTTTCCGGGTTAGCCATCTATAAGTGAATACGATTGTTGCAGTCTTACCCATTTTCCATGATTACAAAATTCTTTTTTTTTTGCACAATTGACTGGCAGTTGGGCAGAACGGGGAGTTAATCCTGCACTGTTCTCTCGGGAGTTGATGGCTAATGCTTCTAATCTTGTTATGAATGAGGAGGTACTTCTATTGTTCAGAGTTGGAATTCCTGTGTCTGAAGGTTATGAAAAGGGTACTTTGCTTTCTCCATGTAAAATGCACCATTCATGCTCACCTTGGTTTAGTGTTTGAAGATAAACTTCTATAGTAGATTTTTCACATCCAGGATCATTTTAGATTAGGAACCTTGTTCATCTTATTTTTAAATGTCATTAAATGAGTGCTTTGCTTCTCTAGAGAGCACCATCCATACTATATTTGGTCTAGTATTTAAAGTCTTTTTGTGCATATATTGAGAACATTTATAGCATTATTTCATCTTCCATGATCAGTTAAGGTAACTTTTTCATTTTTAAAGGTTTTCATATGGACACCTTGATTTTTCTGCACTGGGAACTTGAGCTTATTTTTATCTTCCATGATCAATTTAGATCTGAAACTTTGTTGCGCTTTGTTATCTATAGTTATAGTGCCACAAAAATGCAGTATGCTATTGAATCTTATTGAATCTTATGATATTATTGTACCAATGAAGTCAAGGTTATGGGCCTTGTAGTCTGGCGTAGGTTTCTTATAGCGTATAATTCATAATCATTACTCACGTAATGGACACCGGATCCTTCTATCACAGGTCAACTGTAATCCTCAAATGCTCTTGATGAAGGCTCATGCTGCAACTTCATCTACTGGATCGGCTACAGCGTAAGCTTTTTTAAATTTACCTAGGAAAATCTCTGTTAGTCTTCAGGTTTTCTCATCTTTACTGCATAGCACTTGTTTTGATGACTAGAATGGATATGATTTGCAAGAGTTTCCAAAATCAAAATGTGGTACTTAAGCTGTTCATGCTTGAAAAGAATGTTGTCATTACCATCTTGTAGATATGCTTTTTAATTTCAATTTTAGTGCATCTATGCACTTTATTTTAACATTTGACCACTTATTTGTTTATTCATGATGCTTTTCTAAATTGACTTTGTCATTGCTTTATACTCACGGGTCATGAGCCTTTTCATTTTGCAATTTCTTGGCAAATTTGGTGGCTTTGTTAATCTCTTTAGTACTACACAGCTACATTTTTTTCCTACAATCCTGTTTTTAATTCCCAATCTGCTTTAATTTACTGTTGGGTATTTTCTTGGCGATTTGGTGGCTTTGTTAATCTCTTTAGTACTACACAGCTACATTTTTTTTCCTACAATCCTGTTTTTAATTCCCAATCTGCTTTAATTTACTGTTGGGTATTTTCTTGGCAGTTTCCTCCCTTGTGGAAGTATTGCAGTTTGAAATCATTGTTTTCCTTTTTTGATGATTTGAGTAGGATTGTTGCCATGCTGGAGAAGAATGGAGTTCTTAACATTGCTAATGTTGGAGATTGTGGTCTCCGTATTTTTCGGAAAGGTGCTTAATGAATTAGTTGTTACTTTTTTCACATTTTTCACTTTTTCTGATGGTTCAAGGTTATTTTCATCTCATGTGATTGTTTTGTAATTTTGTTCAAAATAGGTCTATTAATTTTCACTACAAGTCCCCAAGAACACTATTTCAACTGTCCTTACCAGTTGAGCTCTGAGAAGGCTGGCCAAACATATCATGATGCCATGGTACAAACTTAATATCTACTAACCCATTTTCCAATTTTCTTTCTGCTGGCCCAACTATCATAAATTACACTTCCATGATAAGGCCAATTCCAGTGCTTTACATGAATTATCCTTTTGTTTAATTGCCTATAAGTGTGCTGATTGACATGATTCACATCCTTAATCCATGCTTGTATGAATAATTTAGGTTTCTTCTATCATGCTTTCATATGCAACTTCAATTAGTTTAGTTATTGAGTAATTCTAATTGTAGGAATGATCTATGTCTCTTCTAGCATGTTCTTTCCATATGTACTTTTAATTGCTCTAGTTCTTGAGTTGATAATAGTAGCATACACTTTAAGCATTTCTAAAATTGATTGACATGGAGAAATGAAAAATATTCATTTTGAGATACTAATGTTTCTCAAAATCAATTTGGATTCATGCCGGGTAGGTCTACTATGGAAGCCATACATTTATTGAGAGGTTTGATGGAGAAATATAGAGAGAATAAGGAGGATCTACATATGATATTTATTGATTTAGAAAAAGCATATGATAAAGTTCCAAGAGAAGTGTTATGGAGAGTTCTTGAAAAGAAATGAGTTAATAACGCTTATATTCAAATAATTAAAGATATGTATATAGTAGCTAGTACTTGTGTTCAAACACAAGGTGGTTTGACCAAGTATTTTCCAATTTTGTTTAGATTACATCAAGGGTCAGCCTTAAGTCCATATCTTTTTGCTTTAGTCATGGATGTTCTCACTAGACATTTGCAAGAGGATATTGGTGTACCTTCAAGATATACGCTTCTCACTTTTCCAAAACCAACGCAAATCACATTTCAGAATTATACACACATTTCACCTTTCAAAAAGTACACTTCACTATTTAAAGATCAGACATTACACTTTTCATTTAAATATAAACTTTTTACTTTTCAACTACAAACACACTTCTTAACTTGTCACAAAGTCACACACCTCACCCTACCTTCACTTTTCAAACTTAACACAAAACTCATTTCACTTTTCACCTTTCAAAACTACAAAATTCACTTCTTAAACTATACACCTATTTTCACTATTTAACATTCAAACACTTCACTTTCCATACCCTTATACACTTCCCCTTTTCAACTTTCCGTACATTTTACCTTCCAACACATGAGCACACAATTCACCTTTCAAGACATACACCTTTCACCTTTCCAAATCACACAACTTTCACTTGTCAACACATAGGTAAAACACTTTTCCTTACCAATCCAAACACTTTACCTTTCATTTCTCTCACACCAAATCCTTCTAACATATACTTCTTTTACCTTTAAAACCAATCAAACTCCAGTTCCCATTTTGTTTTCCAACACATGCTTTTCACACAAAATAGTTCTCAATACGCATACTCTTCACTTATCAATTTATATACAAAAGCCACTTCATCTCAAAAACATACATGCACACTTTTCAAAATTCACACACTTAACATTTCAAAATTCTTCATATACAATTATACACTTTACTTTTCCACATTTCCACCTTTCCATTCTCACCAATTCATTTTCATTGAAAAGCTCAAGAGATGAGAATTCAAAAATATTAAAAAAACAAATGCTAAAACTTGGGGATGAAATAGGCAAACTCACAACATTTTAATCTCTTGAATTCGCCAAAGAAACGACATATACCAAATGAAATTTGAGAAAGAAAAGAATACTATAGCAACTTTATTTCCTTCTGATAATTCAAGAAAACCTTCCAATATAATCATATAATTTTTCATTTAACCCGCACATTTTCAAGATTTAAATATGAAATCACACAAGAACATCATTTTAATCAATGTCTATTTTAAATACAACTTCACTTGCCAAGATCCAAAGAAAATTTTTATGTTTCCATACTTAATTACCCAATGAACTCATATACAACAAAAAGATTGAGGCAACGCTATAAGAATTCTTTTAAGGAGAATTTTAAATCCTTGAAACATGATACTAAAATACCCTTACTTAACAATGAAAGCCAACAAAGATATCAAAAATCATGTTGTGATGAAAATCATGTGAATGTTTGACTTGTATGTGATTACCATTTGTAACAAATATGCATATATAAAGTTTTCTTTTCTTTCTCTAACTCATGAATTTCTTGGGAGTATGAATGGAATATAACATAGATATGCTTTTCCAATAACTCTTTATTTAACCAAAACTCATCTCATTCTTGAATAGACAAAAACACAAACATCTTTTATGCATTTGATAAATGACGCTACAATTTCCTCCAATCTATGCATAGAGTTTTAAACTATACATCTCATGATACAAACCACAATACACATAGTATTCTGCAGATTTTACACACAAAGAACTTAGTTTCAAATGATTTGGATTTTTCCATAAACACATTCATGATTCATGAGGCTATCTAGTTAAGTCTTGAAGAATAAGAATTCACAAGTAGGATAGTAATCAACCAAAACAAGTGCAAAAATTTAAGTGTAAAATGAATGAATGTTTGCTAAATAACCTCATTTGATAAGCTAACCATCCAACAAAAATTATCCATAAAAGAAAGAACAATAGGAGGGAGAAGAGTAGAAGAAGAATCAAGAAGAAGAGGAGAAGAAGAATTAGGAAGAAGATTGGGTTTACTACTTCCTCTTGTCTCTAGTCGAACAAACCACAACAGGAAGGAGGCACAGATGAGGTTAGGGCCAGCGGTGGAATGGAGAGCAGGGTTGGAGAGGAAGAAGAAGAACGAACCAAACTTCAAATGGGAGAGGAGCAGACAGCTCGTCAGAGACGTGTGAACGAGGCCAACGATGTGAGCAAGATTTCACGAGCAAAGAGGGGACGGGTCCTCAGGTTTTCCGAACTAGAGAGGAGACGGGGCAGTTCTTGCGAATTAGAGGGGAGATAGGAGCGGTTCATCCGAATAAAGGGGGAGATCGTGGGGGTGGTTTTGGTCTAGCTAAACCAAAATTAAACCTCTTTTCAAAATGATTTTAAAATTACAATCCTACCCCTCCTAATCAACGACTACGATTAAGTATTGCATTTTAAGATATGATTAATTTTAATAAAAATAAAAAAATAAGAAAAAAAAGATGAATTAAATTAAAGAATTTTATGTAAATTCATTTTTATAATATTTTGATTTTGATTGATTCAACTCAATTAATGTTGATTTAATTTTAGAGAGTTTGAGACGAATCGTTTTGGGTAAAATCAAAGCTGTCATTTGTTAAAACAAATTTGCGGTTAGTCAAATTTATTTGAATTAGTGATGATTTAGGTCGAATCAGGAGGTTGGGGTCGAAGCTACGTCAGTGGGTATCCACCTAAGAGAAGTCCTGTAGGTGACGTCTACACTAGGCTACGAATACTTAGGTGCTAGAGATTAGTTCTGGGGAGAATTGACCTCGAATAATGAGGTCAACATTGAGGTATTAGATTTTACTTGTGTTAAGAAAGGTAGAGGTAGACCTAAAAAGAATTGGTTAGAAAATATTAGAAATGATCTTTCTTTATTAGATTTAAATGAGAATTTGACTTTTAACTGGACACAACGGCGAAAAAGGATTCTTGTAACCGACCCCACATAGTGGGACAAAGGCTTAATGTTGTTGTTGTCATTTTTGGAGAAATGAAAAAAATTGAATGAACCTATTGCTATTGCATGGATTATAGTAGCACATACTCCCTTTTTTGTCTCATATCCCTCCTCCTAAATCCCTCAACAACAAAGTGGCTAGGAAATCGCACTGGAGCTTCCATGTGTTGACCTCTGTATATGTAACATAATTAATTCAGGGGAGTGCGATGAGAACGACTAATGGATAACGACAACAGCATGACGGTTGACGAGTGCAATGTTAGGTAAAGATCGCCGAACCTCTTTCGATCACAAAATAGATAGTGTCGTTGCATCCAAATTGCTGAAAATATTTTAAGTGAAGACACAAAACGAGATGCATGAGGGATGAGAAAATCTATATGAGTGGTCAATTAACAGTTTTCTTATGTTGTATATATATATTAAAGAAAATAAAGTATGAAAAAGTAGTTGAACCCGATGATATTCTAATAGAGGTGTGAAAATACTTCAGAGATGAATGAATTTTTTGGCTTACTAAACTTTATAATATTTTTTTGTCAAAATTAAATTAATTGGACATATAAAAATCCATTAGACAAATACTTAGTCAGGGAATTGAGACTAGGAATAATCACTCTCACCTCGATAGAAATAATAGAAATATTAAGTGTTAAGTATTGTCTTAAACATTATGACAAGAAATTATCTGAAAAATTTATAACCTTAAGGCAAGGTAGTTGTTGAATATTTAAACACCATCAAAGGCCTAATTTCTATGATCGATTGTGTTGACAATGATTGACAATTGGCCAACAAATTTATCATTAGACATAGGACTGATATTATGAATGAGGTTGAATTGTTTGACCCCATACTCTAGAAGAAGCCTTTCATTATTTTTTTGATTGAGCAACAAAAAAAAATTGCATCCCTATCTAAAACTAGGACTCATATCCTCTCAGCATCATCTCATAAGTTTACTGGCATACCCATATTACCTATTGACCTAACACAATCAAACTATGGGTTCCGAAAATTCGGCCCTGGCCTCCCCTGCTTCTTTTCTAAAGGGGAGTTTTAATGGATTAAGTTCTGGGGTAAATTTTGGAAGACAAATGGGTTTATAGATAAGACACTACCCAAAGATTTCGCCCTTATTTTGCGAGGACTATATCATCTGAGTTATGGTTTCCTATAAGCGCAAGCCCCTATAGTTAATTACCCTTCCAGACAGCGAGAGAGAACTTTCGATTAAGGCTAGTCGTCGATCAGATACATAGAAATACGTGTTATTTGGCATATAATAGCAACATGGGTTTAGGGAATTTGGGAATTTGAAGATTTGTTATTTAAAATTAGAAATTTTACTATCTTGCACTTAAAGCAGATGGCGGGGAATGGATGATGGAC